CCCCTTGGCCCTCCTGCCCGCTGGCCCCCTCACACCTGCCCTCTCCCTCCTAGGGTTTTTCCAAGGACATCAAGGTCCCCAAGAGCCGCTACCTGGGCTATATCAAGGACTACGAGGGGGCAACCCTGATGGAGTGCGAGCTGAACCCCCGCATCCCCTACACCGAGCTCTCCCACATCATCAAGAAGCAGAAGGAGGTGAGTCCCGTGGGCAGGCGCTGCCTGCTCTGGCCCCTGCCAGCCACCTCCTGAAGGCAAGGGAGAGGTGTGGGCCCTTGAATCTCCCTTGGGAGCAGGCTCGCGGGGCAGAGAGGGGACACTGCAGCGGCATTTACAGTGGCCAGGGTTGGCTCTGGCCCTGGGCAGTGGGTGCAGCTGGTGCTCTGGGCCGGTGGGGTCCCACGTCACGGTTTGGCTCCCTCGAGCATCCTGCAGTCCCTGCTCACCCGTCCCCCTTCCAACCCCCTTGCTTCCCACCGCAGATCATCAAGAAGCTGATTGAGAGGAAGCAAGCGCAGATCCGCAAGGTCTACCCTGGCCTGACCTGCTTCAAGGAGGGCGTGCGGCAGATCCCCATCGAGAGCGTCCCCGGCATCCGTGAGTCCTGCCAGCTTCTGGCGGGGAAGGGCTGTCTGGCAGGAGGGCTCCGTCCTGCCTTGCCCACAGGCATGGGGCAGACATGGTGATGTTGACACTTGTCTTCCAGGAGAGACGGGATGGAAACCACTGGGGAAGGAGAAGGGGTGAGTCCTGTGCAGGGGGTGTGGGTGTCCTGCAGCAGCTGGGCTGCAGGGGCTCGGCTCGGGCTGCTTCTCGCTCCCGGCACTGCCCTGGTGCGGCGCTGGTGGTGGCCCGGCACTGGGCTGGGGTGGTGGGAGCACTGCGATGGAGGGAGGCTGCCCACCCTCACGCTGACAGGCGCTGGTTTTGTCCTGCAGGAAAGAGCTGAAGGATCCAGACCAGCTCTACAACACCCTGAAGAACCTCCTGGCCCAGATCAAGGTGTGGGCAGGAGGGCACCCTCTGCTCCGGGGTGCTGGTCAGGAGCTGCCTCCCCTGGGACAGGCTCTGCCCTTGGGGGCAGACAGGGTGACCCAGGCTCACAGGGAGCAGGACCCCTGTGTGCTGGAGCAGGCAGGGGCTGCGTGCGCTCGCTGCTGTAACCTGCCCCTGCCCTCTCCCCAGACCCACCCCAGTGCGTGGCCTTTCATGGAGCCGGTGAAGAAGTCGGAGGCGCCGGACTACTATGAAATCATCCGCTTCCCCATCGGTAGGTGGTTGTACCTGGACCCCCAGGGCAGGATGGCAGAGGGAGGGCTGAAGACCCCCTGTCGTGAGGTCTGTGTTGGGGTAATGGGGGTGCTGGGAGCCCTGGGACAGTCCAGAAGAGAGAGGGATAAGTCAGGACCCTTGGTTGGTGTCCAGCTGAGGGGCTCAGAGACCCGGGGAATCTGACCCTTCCCCACCACTAGACCTGAAGACCATGACTGAGCGCCTGAAGAACCGCTACTACGTCACCAAGAAGCTGTTCATCGCTGACCTGCAGCGCATCATCACCAACTGCCGCGAGTACAACCCGCCTGACAGCGATTACTGCAAGTGTGCCAACACCCTGGAGAAGTTCTTCTACTTTAAGCTCAAGGAGGGGGGGCTTATCGACAAGTAGGGGAGCTGGCCTGGACACACCGTGGCCACC